GTCTGAGAGAAGGAGAGAAGGCTGTTCCGTCACCTGCCCAGGATCAGACACACATTGGAGGCTTAAAAGTGCTCGGGAGTCTTGCACTGCTGCCTGGGTTCGAATCCAAGCTCCACTGCTTATCATTGGCACTCTCCTCCTCAGTTTTTCCTTCTGTAAAATGGGAACCGTAGTCTTAAAAGCTGTTGTGAAGACTTAAGAGCACGTAGAAACAGAACGGGCCTGTGCTACTTACCCAATAAATGTTATCTATTATTGCCCTTGTAGTTGTGATTATGACTGGCTTTGCTGCTTGGTTTCCCCCTGCTCCCCACACCCCCAGGCCTAGCAGGGAGGGAGGCTGGAGTCAGGGCAGCAAGCACAGCTCTGGGATCTGCAGGCCCCTTCCCACATTGGCCTTGTGGAAGCACTCAGGATGGGGAGCCTTCCTGCCTCCCAGCATTCAAGTAACTCTTCTCCTGATCTCAGTTTGGGAGGGTTGGGAAGGTCACAGGGGGGTATCTCAATTTCTTTTCCTCTGCCCTTCTAGAGAAAGCACTTGGGAGTGGAACTGGAGACCTGCCTTCTGGTCCTGGGGTTTTTCTGGCTCCGTATGTGCCCTTGAGCCGGTCACTCCATCTCTTGAGGCCCCAATTTTGTACTAACTGCTTATCTTGGTGGGGGGGCTCTTAACCCTGACAGCTCTGATCCTGTGATGCCTCAGGAAGGCTCGCTCCCTCCCCTCACCAACCAGCCTCTGCACACACACCCCCCCCCACCACCTAGCCAGAGTGAAGGGGCGAGTTGCCAAGGTCGCCATGGGGACTAATCTCTAAGAAGGTCAGTGAGGCTCCGGACCTGCCTTGGCCGGATGGGGATTAGCACCTGGTTATGAGCAAACCGTCCCCCCACAATGGTGCCTCCACTCCCAGGTCCCCTGACTCTCACCTAGACCCTGGGCAGAGGTTCCAAGGCTGGACCACAACCAGTAGGTGGGTAGGGGGTTAGGGCAGCTGCAGAAGCTGTCTCTACAGCTGTAGCCAAGAAAGCAAAGGGCAGAGATGGGGTCCGACCCATGCCCCTCACTGCTCAGTGTCCAGCAGGGTCTGATCCTGGCCCCTCTTCATCTTTTGCCCTTTAATGGGGAGCAATGGGTCTCCCAAGGGAGGGGAATATCAGCCCTACCCCCAGCTCTGGCTGTAGAAGCCACCTCTCTCTCTCTCCTCTCTTGGGGGTAATTTCACCCAATGTGGGGATGGAGGCTGCTTTCACTTGGTGAACCGCTACCTCTGCACACATCAAGCCTTCCACCTCCGATTACCCTGACCTTTGACCTGGCATCTTCACATCTGTCAGAATTGTACATCCCTGGTTATGTCCGGTTGCCTCTGTTCTTCTTCTATGGTTTCTCTCTGCCCTCTTCCTACCTCTGGCTTTCAAGGGGCACGGGGAGGGCTGCAGCTGCTCCCAATCCTGAACTCTCTCCTGGGTCTCCCATCCTTCTGGGCTGCATCCTCTGTCTGTCCTGCCGCCCTGCTTGTGTTTTCCACTCTCCTCCCCTCCCCATTTCTCCTCTGCTCTCTCAGTCCCCAGGCTGTCCACGCTCCAACTGCTCAGTCCCTTTTTCCGCTTCCTCCACTACCTGTCCCCTCCCCCGCCTGGGGTGCTGACAGGGATGACAGGAAGCAGGCTCAGGCTGGGAGCAGGAAGGGGGAGGGGTAAGGGGGGTGCTCGAACACCAGCTGCTGAGCAACCCCCCTCCCCAAGCCCCGCACCTGCAGGCCAGCCTGGCGCCTGGAGTCTCCGCCCCTGGCCTAGCTGGGAGGAGGGACTTGGATGGGAGGCCTGGTCGCTGGCCTCGGTCAGGAAATGCGGGTCTTGGGGATAGGGGTTGGAGGTCTGGGGAAATTAAGTCCTGGGGGGAGGGGAAAGGCAGTGGCTCTCAGTCACAAGGGCAGACTCAACCCTTGGTGGCCTCATTCTTCCCAAACCTGTTCCCGCCCCCCAAATGACTGTGTGGAAGAGGATCATTTCATGGGGGAGATCTCTTCATTGTGCACCCCAGGATCTGAAATCCCAGCCAGAGGTGGAGAGCTCCAGCCCCCTTCCACGATTAGGGAGAAGAGAGGAAGCCCTCACAGACACAGGGAAGATGTGCTGGGGGCCAGGCTCGGCCCCTGACAGGCAAATCATTCAGTGCCAGAGGAAAGGAGCAGAGGTCTAGGCCCAGGACAGAAGCCTGGTCAGGGAGGGCAGGAAGGGGGCTGCACACACCCCAGCCTGGGGAACATCGATGCCTCCCTCCCCAGGGCTGCTGAGGTCTGCCCCTTCCCAGACCCGCCTGGAATCTGTCAGAGCCATCTCATCCCCTCCCCCTCCCTTTCTCTGCAGAGAGGACTCAGCAGATCCCTTGCGGCCTGCCTGCGGGTAGTAGGCTGGGGATGATGGGGTAGAAGGTACAGGTAGAAGGGACAAGCCAGTACCTCCAGGAACATCCAAGATGGAGCTGGAAGGGACCAGTGACTCCCAACCCGACCCTCGATCCTCGTTCTCTCTCTCTCTCTGGGGGAGGGGGTTGACCCCTGCCTGGGTGTGTAGTGGTAGAGTCCCTACCCCATGATGCTTCCTCACCTTAAGGGGAAACTGTAGCTTCTCACTGCTGAGGCTTTCCTCCACTTGCCAACTACAACTAGCTCCTCTCTCTGGGGCTAGACCAGCATCACCATCCTTTAGGGGAGGAGGAATGGAGGACACCAGAGTCAAAGGACAGAGACTCAGCTAAGGGGTCAGACTGGCCTCAGGCTGCATGGGGAACCCTCAGTGCTAGACTCTGGAGGCAGGAGGCCAGGGTCTAGGGCAGTCTCCACCCCCTCCCCCACGTCAGATCTTAGCCTTTGGAATCCTTGCACAAGGGGGCCGATCTGTCTCATGTTTGGGTTCTCCTGCCTGAGAAGAGGGCCCTTCATACCCACTCTCACCCCACCTGTAGCTGTGTGAAACAGGCAGCCTTGGGATTATGGAGTTTGGGAGGGGGTGTGCTGCGCTCCCTGGGGACTCCATCTGGCAAGTGCTACCGGACCCTGAGTGTGTCCTTTTCAATCAGTCTGTCTGTCTGTCTCCCATACGGGAAGACTGAGGGGCCAGGGAGATGGCAGGGAGTGAACCCTTGGGATGTCAGCCTCAAACAGATCTGGAGAAGCACACTTGATCTTCACCTGGCCATAGCTCCCCCAACCCAGATTTTCCACAACTCACAGCTACCGCTCCAACCCCTTGAGGGCCTCCAGCTTCCCAGGTCGGGTGGCTCAGAATTATTGCTAGAAGCCAGAAATCAGGATTTGGGGGCTGGCAAGGCCCTCGCAGTGGGCCAGACCAATGGCTCTCGAGCAAAGAGGAAAACCACGGGAGAGGCTGGGAAATGACTTGCCCAAGGCCATAGAAGTCGCTGGGACACAGCGGGACTAGAAGCTGGGTTTCCACCTCCGGAAGGGCTCCTGTTCCTGCCACAGCCCCTTATGCCACCCGGTGGAGCCTGCTCGGCTGGCCCAAATGACCCGAATCAAGCCGGGCAGCCCATGAGTTTCGGGCAGGACAAGGCAGGGCGGGCGGGGCCGGATGGGAGCCGGATCTCCTCTGGGAGCGGCGCACGGCCTCTCCGACCCGTATGGCGGCGGTGGTGGCGGCAGGTGCCTGCGTGGCGGTCGGGCCCGGCCCCCGGGCGGGTGCTGAGAGGCCACCCCTGCCTCACGCGAGCCGAACGAACAAAACGCTCAGGTCCGGTTTGTGCGAGGGGCTCGTCGCGGGGCGGGAGCGGAAGGCCGGGGGCCTGGCTGAGGCCCTGGGCGATCTCCAGGTCCTGGTCTTCTGCGAACGCAGTGCCACACAGCGCGCCGCTGGCCGCCGCCCTCACCTGCGCGCGTCTGCGGCTGACACGTAGCCGGTCGAGGCGGCCACCGCAGGTGCGCACCTGGTCAGCCCCTCCCTTCCTCCCTTCCTGGCCACCCTTCACCTGGCCGGGCCCTGCTTGGTTTGGTCCCCAGCCTACTCCCCGGAGCTTGTGCGGGAGCCAGGGCTCCGCGCGCTCTTATACGGCCTGTTCAGTCCCCGCCCCTACACACACACACACACACACACACACACACACACACGCACGCACACACACGCTCACACCTGTCCGGGCGCCCGTTTGCTTGGAGCAAATATTGACTCAGAGGAGGCGGAGCGCCCCCTCCCCCTCCCCGCCCCCGCCTGGGCTCTGGGGCCGGAGCTCTTCCGAGGCCTTGGCCGCGGGGGTGGAAGGGGGGGTGTCGGGGACCTGGGCGCCTCTGGAACAACACCAGATGTCACTTTTCCACCCACCTGCCTGAAAGAGGGGGGGAGGAGCTGAGGACAGAGGCCGCCGGGGGGAGGTTAGGGGGAGCGTGAGGTGGGTATCCTAGGGAGGGCGGGACATCACCTGGGCTGGGGATTCAGATTCCCGATGGGAGTCGCTTAGTAGGGCCTGTGGGCCACTGTCTAGCTGTGACCTCAACCCGCGTCCCAGAGTGTAGCTCTTAGCCCTCCGCGATGTGCCTCGGTTTCCCTTCCTTCTCAGCCTCTTAGCTCAGTCCCCGGAGCCAGATGCTGAGAAAAGGCCGGCGGTGGAGGGGCCGAGCCCGGGAGCAGAAGCAACGGGGAAAGGGGAGGGGTGGTCACCTCGTCCCGCAGCCACCTGCTGCGCGGATACCGCCTGGCGCTCAGTTTCTGTCGGCCAGGCAATGCCGCAGTAAAGGCTAGTTAGGCCCGCCCGAAGCGCCCTCCACTGGCCAAACCCGGTCCAGCGCCCGGCAGCGAGCGGCTGGAACTCTGGCCCAGCTACGCGGCGGAGTGGAGAGAAGCAACCTCCAACCCCCAAGTCTGCAACGGGTCGCCGCAGTCCGCCTCAGCCGCTCCAACCATCTGTCCCTCCCAGAGCGCGCTCGAGAATTCCTTCTGCGTCGGGGAAATAAAGTGAAGGCAGATACAGAAGGCTAGATGCTTTAGTGGCGGGGCAGTGGAGAGGGGGCCTAGGAGGGCCGCAAGTCGGCGGGGCTGGGGTGTGGCATCCTCAAAGAGTCGGTAGGGGGCGGCACCACCAGGCGGGACACCTCGGCCTGCTGCAGCCCAAGGGGCGCCGCCGAAAGCAAGTCGGGAGTCTCAATCCTGGAAGACAGAAAGCCCCAGAGGGAGGTTGGAGAGCGCCTTCGGGCCGAGCCTACCCGCCCCTGCCACCCCTCGCGCCCCTCCGGCGCAGTCGGCGCTCACACCTGGAAAGGCTGAGCGGGGGCAGGGCGATGACGCGCGGCCGCGAGGTGAGCACCACCTCCCCGCGGCTCGCCTCCACCAGGATGTTCTGGATCATGTTCTCCAGCAGCGCCTCCTGCAGGTTGGCGAACGCTGGGAGCCTGCGGGGCGGGGATGGGGGCAGGACGCGGGTGTCAGCACCGCCACCGACGGCGCTCGTGTTCTCCGCGGGCCTCTTCCGTGCGGTGCCGTGTGTGCCCTGGGCTCAGTCTCCGTGGATTCTCATCCCACTCCCCGCCCGGCCAGCACTATAAGGCATCCTTGTTCCAACTTTACAGACGCTCTAACTGTGGCTTAAAGGGACCAAGTGGCCAAAGATCCTGCCGCTGGAACAAGTTGTGGGCTGGGAACCCAGGCAATTGTCGGTGCCATCTCAGAGCCAGGTCTGGGGAGAGGCATCAAGCTGTGAGAGGGTGCCCAAGGGACTGGGTAGGGCCTAAGGGATCCCAAAGCAGACAGGAAGGGCTACAGAGCAGCCCCAGGCAAAGGCCCTCCAGGAAAAGCTGGCACTTCTCTCCTGGCTCTAGAAAACCATTCAACTATGCCCTGAAGTGGTGTGCTAGAAAATAGTTTAATAGCCAGGTCTGGGAGGGAAAAACTAAAGCCCAGATTGGCATTCTGTAAATACCTTGCTGAAGGCCTTAAGGTACCAGCGGGATGTCACTGAATGCTGAGCTGGGAAGAGCCTTGCACCCAGACAGAGGCTGGCTCCCAGCGCACCTCGGCCTCTTGGGATCCTTCTGCACACACCTGCCTCAGCCAGGTCTGGCTGCTCACCGGCTGATGGTCTCCTTCTCATCCTGCTCTTGTTCCTCCTTCACCATGACCTTCAGCTGCTGCTGCCACCGCCATTTCAGGGACTCCTGGGATGTGGGCTGCAGTGTGGGCTCAGCCTCCGTCCAGGACAACTTCTCTTCCTTCGCCCCCTCCTCCAGCTCTCCTTTGCCTATCTCCTCCTCCTCTATCTCCTCTTCTTCCTCCTCTTCCTCTTCCAGTTCCTCCTCTTCCTCTGCACTCTTCTCCTCCTCTTCTCCCACTTTCTTGTCCCACCTCAGTTTGTCCTCCTCGGACTCCTTGTCTCTGCTGGCCTCCCAGCTGCTGGAGGATGGAGACAGGACAGGTACTAACTGCAGGGTGTTGCTCTGGGCCATGATCTTGGCTGACTGCTCATTCCAGAACTGGCAGAAGTAAGGCATCTTCTCCACCAGGCTTTGGTCCACAGCTTCATGGAATATCTTGTCTTCTAGCAGACCCCTGTGTGGAAGGGAGGAGGAGGAGGTCCTCGCTGAGATGGCTTGCGAGGGGGACTTTACACCCCCTGTGGGGCTCTGGCTTCAGAGCCAAGCCTCAAGGGGCAGCTCCTGACTTCTGTGTCTACAAATGGGTGATTGATGGGGAAGGCCAGCCCCGCCCACCCCTCCTTTGGAGGAAGGCATCTCTGGGCTCCGTGGGTTCTTAGAGGCATAGCCAGGAGGTCAGAGTTATGCAGATAAGGGACAGGAACCCCAGGGAGACAGTGAACTGGCTCAGACCTTATCTACTAGCCCTGGACAGGACAGAACTCAAGATCCATCCCTGAGGATCCTTCTAGCAAGCTCCATTAGAGCTGCCCCATCCTGCAGGGCCTGGGGCCACCAGTAGAAGGATCTTGTGAGGAAGTTCTATTTTTCAGGAAAGGAAGGGCTGGGACTTCAGGGGCCATGGGTAGACACAGAGCTGGCTGGCCGAGCTGGTGAGATGGCGGGGATGGTGAGGGTCTGGGGGGTCACCTGATGATGGTGGTGAGACAGTCAGTCAGGAGCTGCTTCTCCTGCTTGGAGATGGGGGCCCACTTGTCTGGGGCTTCTTCCTCAGAAGACTCCAACTTTTCCTCCTCGTGGTATTTCCTCTTTGGCAACTCCCTGGAGCAGGCCAAGACATTCTGAGTGGCCTGGGAAAGCCACCATGCTGGGGGGGGTTCATGAGCAGTGGCGGTGGTCATGAAGTCAGGAGAACATAGATGAGCTTGGGACAGCCCATCGCCTTGGCCCAAATGTCATGCTACGGCATATGGGGACCAAAGCCCAAATCCCAGGGTCAGCGCGGGACCTGGAGAGGCTCCAAGTGGGAAAGGGAAGGAAGGAGGAAGGGCAGGAAGCCTAGGTGGGTTCCAAGGCAGCAGAAACCCCCTCCCTGCCTGAGAATTCACCGGTGCAGGAAGTGCTGGGGAAAGTCAGAGAAGTTGGCCAGGAAGAAGTCGGTGGCATGAGCACGGGCCGTGAGGCCCAAGCACAGCATGCCTGGCGATGGCGGCTGGGGACGGGGCCAGAATATCTTCTTCTTTGGGATCTTAAGTTTCCAGCTGACAGGCCGGTGGAGAGGCTGCTGATTCTTGATGGGGGGCAGCGTCTTTGGAAAGGGAGAGACGTGGATGACAGGGATTTGGGGATGTCACTCCCTCACCGATGGGTCTGTATCCCCCCACCCAGGCCTTTGGAGCCAAATCAAAGTGTGACCCCACCCACTGGCCCTTCCATCCCTCCCTTCCAGGAGGCTGGGCCAGCAGTTGGGAGTATCTCTGGGAGCAAGAAAGGACTGCTCAATTTATCCCAAGGAGACAGGGCATATGAGCTCACCTTGTACTTCCTCTTAGGGACACAGGCTCTACAATATTCTCCTCCCTATGGAAGCAAAGAGACCCATATTTAGGATATAAGAAGACTGGAGGGACTCCCCTCTTCTTACCCTTTCTGCCAGCCCACGGGGTGGGGGGCGGGGAGGTGCCAGCAGCCAATGCCAGGACCGGCTGCCCTCCTGATCTCCCCCACCTCCCAGCCACACCCCCTTCTAGGATCTTCCTTAGGGAAGTGCTGCCCGCAGACAAGGAACATCAGATCACCCAACTGAAGGGAAAAAAGGAGACGCCAGCAAATATGCGCGGACGGTACCAAGGTGCTCGTCCTCGTGCCTTGGGACTTTGCAGTTCAGTGCGATAAGGAAATTCTCTCCTTTATTAAGATTTAATTCATAAATCCCTTCTCCCACACCCACCAGACAGGGGATTGTGCCCTCATAGTTGGGCCAGACCTTCAGAGGGGAGCAGAGCCTCAGCAGGGCTGAGTGTGGTGAGGACAGAGGTGAGCAAGGTGCAGAATAGCAGCCCAGGGGCGCCTGGGTGGCTCAGTAGGTTAAAGCCTCTGCCTTCGGCTCAGGTCATGATCCCAGGGTCCTGGGATCGAGCCCCGCATCGGGCTCTCTGCTCAGCGGGGAGCCTGCTTCCCCCTCTCTCTCTGCCTGCCTCTCTGCCTATTTATGATCTCTGTCAAATGGATAAATAAAATCTTAAAAAAAAAAAAAAAGAATAGCAGCCCAGGGAGGCTGGGAAGCTGGGGGAGGAACCAAGAGGGATGTGTGGTCTCACATTTACTCTCCGGCTCCCCTACAGATAGGAATAGCCTGCTTAGTGCGTGCTTCCTGGGTGCCAGGCACTGTTGTAGGCACTTCACAGGCTTTAACTCATTCGATCCTCACAACAGTGCTGTGAAGCGGACACTATTTTACTTGCATTCAAAATATTTTTTAAACTTTTATTTTTAACCTTCTTAATATGGAAAATTTCAAATGCATTGGAAAGTAGAGAGAATGTACCAAGAGTCCACCCAGCTTCAACAATCAGCAGGTCACGGCCAGTCTTGTCTCATCTGTGCCCCACTTCTGGATTTTTGTTTAAGATTTGTTTATTTAGGGGCACCTGGGTAGCTCAGTGGGTTAAAGCCTCTGCCTTCGGCTTGGCTCAGGTCATGATCCCAGGGTCTTGGGATCGATCCCCGTGTCGGGCTCTCTGCTCAGTGGGGGGCCTGCCTCCAGCCCACCCCCCGTCTGCCTCTCTGCCTACTTGTGATCTCTGTCAAATAAATAAATTAAAAAAAAGATTTGTTTATTTATTTGAGAGAGCACCTGTGCATACACGAGTGAGTTGGGGGAGGGGCAGAGGCAGAGGGAGAGAATCTCAACCCCACTCCCTGCTGAGGGCAGAGCCTGAGATCATGACCCGAGCTGAAATCAAGAATCGGACGCTTCCCTGACTGCACCATCAGGCACTCCTGGATTATTTTGAACTCAATCCCAGATGTCACATTACCCCTGTTTTATAGTTAAGGGAACTGAGACAATAAGTGACTTGACCAAGATCTCAGAACTAGAAATCTTCAAAGCCAAGAATCGAAACTGGGCAACTTGTCTCCAGAGCCTGCCTCTGAAACCCCTGTCCCACACCGTCTTCCATCAGAAGGTGAGCTGTCTTGCCTCCTTTGGCTCCCCGGTGCCCAGGACTTAGCAGGCACCCATTAAACACTGGCTACATGAGGCTGGGAATGATCAGCCAGTCTTCTGTGTACAGAAGAGAGTCTCTTGGGGAGATGCTATACTTGGTCTAATGGAAGCAAGCTGATCTAGGATAGGCTGGCCAGTTTTGCATGTAGGACCACCTCACACCCCCACCTCTCTCCCCTCTGGTAAGGCCAATCAGAAAGATCTGTGATGTTCAAGGCCCACTCACCTTCCCCTTCCTATCTGTGATGGTGAACTCCACTTCCTGCCGTATTTCCTCGTCCTTCCACTCCTGTAGTTCCTTATGGTATTGATTTAGGAGTTTCTGTCGGTATACCTATAGCCCAGGACAAGGAGGGAGAAGGCCAAGGTCTGGAGGACCTGTGTGCTGTGGACCCCTCACTCTTCCAGGGGCTGGCCCCTGCCTTTCAGTAAAGGTCTGGAGATCTCATAGACCACCACCACCCCCAATGCCACATCCCAGTACTGGGAGCTATGCTCCATCCCGGCTTCTTTCTGATGCTTGTCCTACCTTGCATACCAGGTCCATGCTGTAGAAGCTGGCATGCACTGAGGCCTTCAGGGTCACCACAAAGGAAATAGTCTCTTCAGGAGCCACCTTTCCTGTCATGGGACTCACAGACACCTGTTTGTTTGGGGGAAGGGGTCTCTGGAGCTTCACAGGGATGGGATAGAGTGGGATGAAATGGAATGGGTAGGATGGTGTGGGATGGGATGGGATGGGATGGGGACGGGTGGGGCTAGATGGGGTGAAATAGGACAAGATGGGATAGGATGGGGTGAGATTCAGTGGAATGGGATGGGTTGGGATGGGGTGGTGTAGGGTAGAGTGGTGGGCGATGGGGTGGGGTTGGACAGAGTTGAGATGGGTGGGACAGGAAAAGATGGGGTTGGGATGGGGTGGAGTAGGATGGGGTTAGATGGGGTAAGATAGGACAGGATGGGATGAGATGGGATGAGGTTGGATGGAGTGAGATGGGTGGGATGGGATAAGATGGGATGGGATGGGATGGGATGGGATGGGATGGGATGGAGTGGGGTGGGATGGAATTGGGCAGGGTGGGATAAAGTGGGATAAGATGGGGCGGGATTTAGTGGGATGAGGTGGGATGGAATGGGAGGGATGTGATGGCCTGGGGTGAGATGGAGTAAGAAGAGACAAGATGGGATAGGATGGGGTGGAATAAGGTGGGCCTGGAGTCCTGCTAGAGGTTCTGATTCTCTGGAAATATGGGACTCTCACCTCCCCAAACTCTAGAGGCTTCAGCTGCCACTCAAAGACAATTGTCTCGCTCTTGGAGATGTTGTTGAGGAACAGCAGGCGGCTGCACTTGCTCTGCACAGGTATGTTTCCCAGGGAGATATGGGACTGGGACAGGAAGACGTTCTGTTTGTGGAGACAACACAACAGCCACTTTGGGAGGTGAAGTTACCGAGTGCCTTCGGCAGGCGTCAGGGTAGGCAGTTCACAGGCCTTTGATCCTCACCATGCCCCCGTGATACACGTATTATTGTCGTCCCCACTTTACAGCCAGTTAAGTGCTGCTTTAGCAGCAGCCAGTGCTGCTAAGCTTTAGAGAGCATAAGGAATTTGTCCAAAGGTCTCTTATAGGCACAATGGGGATAAACCCAGACAGTCTCACCCTAAAGCTTATGCTTTTGACCATTAAAATAGGCTTGGGAGGGCTGAAAAATCAGAATTTGCTTAGAGAAGACAGAACTAAAGCCAACATAATTTGAATCCCTGAAGAATGCTTGTAGATTAATGGTGGGGGGGGGGGGGGATCAGCAGTTGGCATTGTCAATGGGAACAGAACAGTAGGGGGTCTGGAAAGACTGAGGTCACATGGGAGGGGCACTTTCTCTCTGTCCAGACCCTGAATGTCTCCAGAGCTGGGACTTTGTCTGGCTCTTCTTTGTGTCCTCAGGGCCTCCAAAGTGCTTGTCATGCAGTTAGAGTCCAGAGAGGGTAGGAGTGGAAGGCTGGACAGGCCATTGTATAGGTGTATAGCAACTGGGTGGCTGTACAGAAGGATGGATGGAGAAGTGGGTGAGCAGATGGTTGGATGGATGAGTAAATGAGCATGTGGGGGGCTCCTGGGTGGCTCAGTGGGTTAAGACTCTGCCTTCGGCTCAGGTCATGATCTCAGGGTCCTGGGATCGAGTCCTGCATTGGGTTCTCTGCTCGGCAGGGAGCCTGCTTCCCTTTCACTCTCTTCCTCTCTGCCTACTTGTGATCTCTCTCTCTCTCTCTGTCAAATAAATAAATAAAATCTTAAAAAAAAAAACATGAGCATGTGGGCCAGTGGGAGGAGATGGACGGATGGGTAGATGAATGAATGGGTCAGATGTCCCAACAGTGGGATGTGTTTGAACTAAAGATGGGGTTATTTACCCTAGATATTTTATGGCAAAATCCATCTAGGTCCAGGGAGGGACTGTTCTGTATGAAGATAATACTTTACAGCCCCAAAATGGAAGAGCTTCCTTCTATCCCTTCCAAAATCCCCATCCCAATGCCCAGAGTGACTTGAGCAGGAACACCTGTGGGCACTAGGGGGCAGGGTAAGCCTCTCATGGAGCCAGTCCTGCCTGCTCGATGAGGGCAGGTTCCAGGCTTTACTTCTGTATCCCCTCCTTACCACCTCTATCGCATTTCCTTCCCAACTTCCCTCTGCCCTGGTCACCTGGGGCTCTCAGGCTCCTCCTAGGCCTCAGGACTTCCACCTCCCTACCCCTACCTGTCCAGGAACCATCAGCCTAGAATGTATGGAGTGGTCGTCCCAAGAGGAGATGTTGTGGAATGGGGCTGTGTCCCCCATGACCTGGGGGTCATAGCCCACTCCCTGGAAGCGGATGATGGCTGAGTTCCATCCCAGGATATGTATGGGTACATCTACCTAGGAAGTTAGGAGGGTGGGGAAGGGACTGGTCAGAGCAAGGCTTGCTGAGGAGGCCAACACCAACCCCCACCCTTACTCAGCCCAGGCTGCGGCTCACCATGTAAGTCTTGGCCTCAATAGGGGAGAAGATCCACAAGACCTGAGCAGTTGTGCCCGGCTGGATCTCCCCTTGGGGGTTGAGGCAGCAGAAGATGGGGTGATCGAAATTTTTTTCCTGAACCTGCGACAGGATGTTGGTCTGGACCTCGTATGTTACAGGCACCGAGCCACCGTTATACAGCTCATAAATCTGCAAGGGTGGCAGGAATAATGAAGTCTCCACACCAGATCAGGGTTTGGAGCATAGAGAGCCTGGAATTCTGTGTCCACGGTGGGAGGACAGGCTGATCTCCATGATGTGACTTTACCGCTCCAGAGCCCCCCCAACCACCTCTGATTTCCATTATGGCCTGATCATCCAAGAAGTATGTAACTGTATTTTCAGTCTGGGACATTTTAGGATAATCTGTAATCCTTATTTGCTATTCATTTACTTTTGTCAAGGTAAAAGAGGACACTAACACTCGTGTCTCTAGCGTGGAGATTTACAGAACTGTCCATGCACGCACCCTTCTAGCCCTTCAGGCTCTCGTTCTAACCCTCCGGGACACTGCCACTTTCCACGTCTGCCCTTAGAGGCAGTCCTGCTTAAAGGCAGATGAGGGAGGGGAAGGAAGCTATGATGTCCCCCAAGACTAACTCCAAAGTGTGGGAATCACAGAATGTCCTGGAAGAAACCCAAGATCTTCTGGTCCAAGCCTTCATTTTAGGATAGGAAAATGGAAGCCAGAGAGAGCAAACAGTTCATCTGGACCTAGGTCTTGTCCCCTCATCTTTCCCAGCACGCACTCCTGAATATGCTGATTTTATTTCTCTAGCCTGGGCCATGTCCGAGCTTCAGACCTGGTATCCGACTTCCACTTCTCAAGCCCTTCCTGCCCCCTCGCCAGCCACGGATTGTCTCACAGACATCTCAAATTTGGTAAAAACCCAACTCTTCACTCGAAAGCCTATTTCTACCTCCCTACTGCCTCAGAGTGCACCTCCTTTCAGTAAATGCTCAAACTAGGAATTCAATACAGCTCAATCCCTCTCTTTCTCCTACATTCTCAAGCTAGCCCCAGCAAGTCCCTATGATTCTTCCTCCACAATGTAAGTTAAATCTGTTCACTTCTACTTCTGCTGTCCTCTCATGGGTCCAGGCCACCGTCTGTCACCCTCTTATGAATGAAAGAGGAAGCTTGGCCAGTTCTGGAGATTGCTTGGAGGCACAGTTGGGTCTCCTGGCTCTAAATCTGGGGGCATTTTCCATGGTCTATGTTCAGGACCACAGGGAAGTGGTCTAGTCTCTCAGGAAAGCTCTCCAGGGGGCACCAATCAGTGCTTTCCTTTTCAAGGACCTGAGCCTCTGCAGCCTTTGCCTGGGGAGGGGCAGGGGGGCTTCCAGGGAGCCAGTAGGGTAAAGGGTGGTCTCCCAGGTCTGGAAAGCCCATTCCTCTGACTCTAGGCTGGACAACCAGAGACTTCTGCTCAGAAATACAAGGACTTCTAAATGGTTAGAAATTTCACAACTGGGGCACCAGGGTGGCTCAGTGGGTTAAAGCCTCTGCCTTCAACTCAGGTCATGATCCCAGGGTCCTGGGATCGAGCCCCTCATCCAGCTCTCTTCTCAGCAGGGAGCCTGCTTCCCTTCCTCTCTCTCTGCCTGCCTCTCTACCTGCTTGTGATCTCTGTCAAATAAATAAATAAAGTCTTTTAAAAAATGTTTAAAAAAAAAGAGAGAAATTTCACAGCCATGACATGTTTGGGAAAATACTACATCCCCCTCTGGGAGATTTCCAGTGTACATGTTCAGAGAAAAGGAACCCAATTCCCTCCACTTGATAAAGAAAATTCTATAGCTTTGCAAGGATTCATAGTCTAGTTTTTCACACTCCAGAAAAACGTCCTTCCTGGAGCAGCAATTTTCATCCTGGGGCTGAGACCTATTAGTGAGCAGGTCATGAAAGCAATTTAGCAGGTGGAACAGAATAAAGTAAAAATGGAAAACATCCAAACACTTTGCATGTAGTAGTGTGCGTACTGATTTGTGATATTTTGTTTTAAGTATATGTTGCTATGGGATTATTATGGGATTATTATCCAAAATATATTAGTGTGATTCCTGGTCAAAGAAGTTCGAAGAATCCTGTATTAGGGGAGAGATCCCCCTGCTTTTGCATGGAAACATGGGAACGAGGCAAAGGGCTTCACACCAGGCACCAGGAAGCAGAAGCCTCTCATCTTGGATCACTCTCAGTTGCCCAAACTCAGTGTTTGACCTGTAGCCCCACCTCTCAGCGTGAGGACTTCTGGAGGGTAAGGTCTTTGTTACCCTGTAGAGGGCTAATGCAGATACACAGAGATCAATGCTTAGGCTTCTTGGTAACTGGGACAATGTAGACCACTCACCTGCCTTGGGGGCAGTGTGTTGCCAATGGGGACAGGGACAAACTCGTGGCTAGTGGAGGTGAAGTGCACGTACTTTTGCTCCAGCTTCACTGTCACACCTATGAAATTTAGCTGGAAATAGAAAGCCCATGAGTAGCATCCTTCCCCAGGAAGAACAGAAGCACCCAGCCCAAAGTTCTGGACCCTAGGTCCCCAGGGGCACAGTTCCCTGCTCCTCTCTCGGGTGTCCAGGACAGAATGAGGTCGAGGGTCTCACCAGGATCTCCCGGCCGTGGGACACCTTGAAGAGCACTGGGAGGCGATCAGTGCCAACGAACACGTGGCTGGAAGGAAGGAGACGAGTCTGGGCTGAAGTTACAGAGCCCCAGTACCCGCAGGAGAGCAAAGTGCCTATAGCTTTGAGGGGGCCAGCCCCTGGGAGATTGTGGAAGGAACCCCCCGAGTTGGGATGGGGCAAGAGGGACATGAAACCTCCCTGCCAAGTGGGTGGACAGGGTCCTCCCCTGGCGGTGGGCACCCTGGTGGTGGAGTCACCAGAGTCTAAGGAGGAGCTACTCTGGGAGCACAGGGAAAGCAGGGGGTGGGGTGGGTCTCCAGGACCGGAAGTGTGGACAGGCAGTGGGAGGAGCACCTGTATTTGAGTTCCACCACCTGCTCCTGCCCGGGACTCAGGCTCCCAGCCTTGGGGCTGATGGAGAATACGCAGTTGTCCTGCACACGCATTTGGTGGAGCTCAGTGGTGTCAAACTCTGCTTGCTGCGCCCACAACTCCAGGTCAATCTGCTGGTCACTTGGAAAGAGGAAGGCCCTGGAAGAGGGTGTGCAAGCCTTTTAGAACAGAGAGGTGGGAGCTCTGCACAGCAGACGGAGTGGATGGAGGCATCCCAGGAGGCCTCCCCTACTCCCTCCCCCCTGATTTGGCAAGCTGCCCCACCTGTGCCTGAGCAAACATGGCTCTCACTTCATAACGACACCAAAGCCAAACCCAGAAATGGCAGCAGGTCCTTGGTGATGGAGTGGAAAGTGGAGACTGGGGCTTCCATTGTCAGGGACGGGAGTCAAGGGGGACAACCCGTGTATATGGGTAACTTTGAGCTAGCTAGCCACTAACCCCAGGGGGATGATTGTGTGACAAAGCCCTTAGGAAGGGCCATTTGAAGCACCTACAAATGCCAGCAGCACACACCAGGCCCCCCTCCCTCCAGGGGGAGGGTGTCTAGGCCAGCGTGAACCTGGGGTGGAGAACAGATGCCCCAGCAGGGCTGGTGTTCTCGAATCTAGAGCAAGTCTGGGCATAGAATTCATGCCCCCCAAATGCCTCATGTTGTGGGAAAGTGCATACTGCCCTCTAGCTGGTTAACACAGCAAGAGGTGAAGGGGTCCCCGAGTTATGATCTGAAAAGGAGGACCCTTCCGATCTCCGAGACACAGCAGAGAACTGGCCTCAAACTGGGCAGATGGCAGGAACAGGGAGCAGCCAAAGGGGAAATGTTCAAAGAATGGAGGAAATCGCAAACCTAGACTCCCTTGAATCAGTCTTTTTTTTTTTTTAATGGAATTTTCTTTTTAAAAAAAATTTACTTATTTATTTATTTGACAGACAGAGATCATAAGTAGGCAGAGAGGCAGGCAGAGAGAGAGGAGGAAGCAGGCTCCCCACTGAGCAGAGAGCCCGATGCGGGGCTCGGTCCCAGGACCTGAGATCATGACCTGAGCCGAAGGCAGAGGCTTAACCCAGGCACCCCTCCCTTGAATCAGTCTTAAAATAGTTTCACATCAGAAATGTGATAAACATGGGGTGCCTGGGTGGTTCAGTCATTAGGCTTCTGCCTTCGGTTCAGGTCATGTTCCCGGGATTCTGGGATCGAGCCCCACACTGGGCTCCCTGCTCAGCAGGAAGCCTGCTTCTCCCTCTCCCACTCCCCCTGCTTGTATTCCCTCTCTCGCTGTGTCTCCCTCTGTCAAACAAATAAAATAAAATAAAATAAAATAAAATAAAATAAAATAAAGGAATGTGATAAACAGTTCCACTCAACACTGGGAAGTTTTGAAAGAACAGACACCTTCAAACAGGAAAGGAGAGAGGGCATGGCTACCACCTTCTGCTGTGGGAATTTTGACAGCATCTACTAGAATAAAAACTGCATGAGCCCTTTGACTCAGGAATTTTCTCCTGGGGAACTAACCTGCAGGAATAAAGGTATGCGTGCACATGCTCACGCTCACACACGTGCGCACAGCAACTCACACACACATGCACATGGATGTTTATTACAACTTTCTTTGTGGTGGGGGAAAGAAAAACCCACTGGGAACAACTAATGTCATCCAATACAGGAGGAATTTAATAACTTCAGGGCCATTCATATTACAGAATATTGTGCCAAATATTACAGAGAAAGAGTAAAGGGGCGCCTGTGGCTGAGTGGGTTAAGCGTCTACCTTGGACTCAGGTCATGATCTCAGGGTCCTGGGATCCAGCCCTGCATCGGGCTCCCTGCTCAGCAGGGAGTCTGCTTCTCCCACTTCCCCTCCCCCTCCCCCTGCTCATGTTCTCTCTTTTGCACACACACTCTCTCTCAAATGAATCAATTAAAAAAATATTAAAAAAAAGAGTTAAAGAATTTTATGCACTGGTCAGTACTGATCTGAAGGGAATGTTACGGGTGTAATGCTGAGTGAAAATGTTAATGATCTAACAGAAAGCGGTATGCACAGCATTGTGCCAATACTGTAAAAAAAAATTCAAGGGAAACAGAATAACCCTGGGCTGTGTTCACATGTGGATGGCACATGGGCTGGGGATGGAAGCCCCCCACAAACCCTCCATCACCCCCAGAGGAGCGGACATGCAGTGGGAGCCGGGGAGTTGCTTGCTTTGTGTCTTTTGACAGGTGAATAAACTGCTTTTTCACTTCATCCAGGGGATACTGATCAGCGGCACAAGTGGAGATCTTGCTACTTTGGGGGGGTTATCTGGGTAGTTTTGACACCTCTGTTTTCCTCGCTGCCCTTGCTCAGTCCCCCTCCAAATAATCCTGACCCCTTTTTCCCTGCCAGTCCCTTACTGTGGGCGCCCTTGCTGGCTCCCCTGCCTCAGGCTGCTAGTCAATTTCTCTCCCTGCACCCCACACCCTAGACCAGAGTGACAGGTCTCAAAGGTACATCATGTCTTTGTCCCCTGTCCCCGTTTACATCGCCACTATGCCCTCAGGAAGAAGTCCAAACTCTTAGGAGAAAGGTCCCGATGCCGTGGCCCTTGTCTGCCTTCCCAGTCACATCAGGGACCCCATCCTCCTTCTCTGTCAACACTCTAGGTGGGCTGAGCCCTTTTCTCTTATTCATGTAGATACCAGGCCCTCTGTCTGGAAGGTCCCCCCACCCTTTTTAAAAAGATTTTATTTATTTGTCAGAGGGAGAGAGAGAAAGCAAGCACAAGCAGGGGGAGCAGCAGGCAGAGGGAGAAGCAGGCTTCCAGCCGAGCAGGGAACCCGACAGGGACTTGATCCCAGGACCCTGGAATCATGACTGGAGCCAGGGACAGATGCTTAACCGACTGAGCCATCCAGGCATCCCTGTCTGGAAGGTTCTTTGCAGCCTCTCTGCGTCTTCTCCCTACGCTGCTGGTCTAGCTCAGTTGTAGCTTTCTTCAGCCCGCATCACCCTGCCTCAGACCCCTGCAGCTCTTGGGGGGCCAGGCTTGGACCTGTCGGCACCTCGATTCTGAGGGCCATGTCGGGAGCCCAGGCCTAGAAGCCCCCAGTAAATGTTTAGCCAAGACTTAATGAGTGCATGAGGGACCAGGAGGTGCTAGCCTGAGTATCTGATGTTGGTAAGGCCTTCCACCTCCCTGGGAAGGAGCAGAGGCATAGGGGGAGAAGACCCGGAGGGAGCGGGGAAGGCCACTCTAGGCTCCTCTTCCCTCCGATGCTCCCCCTCCCTCTTGGGGTTCTCACTCTGTCCTGCCTGCGGCTGCCTCCAGGCCAAGTCCACACTCCCAATTTCTTACTGATCTTGGCAGGAATAAAACCTTCAGTCTGTTCTTTATGAGCTCAGCAAAGACCAGCTAGAAGTTTCAAAAATAGCCTTCTAAGAAATTGAAAGGAAACACAACAACACAAAAAACCTAGGAGAGTCAAGCCTTCCAAGGAAGGTTCGCTGTGCTTGGACTCCTGGAAGAAGCACGGACTGCCTTCCTGAACCTCAGATGATCTCCTGATGGATGGGCTCAGCTCAGTGGGCACCTTGCCTGGGTTTCCTCCCACCTCGGTTTCCAGCCACCTGGACTCTCTCCACAGAGAGTGTGAGCTGGCTTGCTCCTACACAAACACACTTGCATGCATAATCCACCAAAATACCCTGTTCTGAGCCAGGATGGACTAATGCCGCTTTTCCTGTAGTGCCTGGCTCCTGGCCACACCAGTAGCCTCAGGGAATGATGGATCTGGAGCTCTGGTGGGCCCCGGGCCTTCCCCACCTGGCTAGCAGCCCTGTCTGCCAAGCTTCAAGTCATCAGGGCCAGGAGCCCTCAGCTACTCATAGTCTTGGCCCCTCTCAGACAGGAGCCAGCCTCCCTGCTTGCTTCCCCTCCAGCTTTGCCCCCACCCCAAGACTCTGCTCAGGTAGGAAGGTTCCTGAGATCGCAGAAGCACCCCACCCCACCCCACTCCAGCCCCCGACATGCCCCTGGCTATCTCTCTCAAGCCTGACCCCAGTGGGTGCACTTCTTTATCACTTCCGTTTAGGCAAGAAAAGTTAGAAGTCATCAAGAGGAAATTTACTAGGAAGTCGAGACGCGTGGCAGAGGTGAAGAGGAACAACAAGAAAAAGCTCTGGCATGGAAACAGGATGTTTACCGGGCACAAGTTCGGGCCCCGACGGGAGGAAAGTCAAGCACAGGAAGGACCACGCTTGGCAGGCTCAGAGCTCCAGGCCTGGGCAGCTGTGACCAGAGAGGCGCAGCCTGCCCTGCGGCCAGCCTCCAGCTTTCCCGCAGCCCACGTGACTTCTCTCAGCCACGTCTTCCTCCCTGACACCAGCTTGGTGGCAGCCTGTCCCTGTCCTTCCCCACCAGAGATCTTCACTCAGCCCCATACAGGCTTGGCCTCCCTGGACTGGAACTCTACTGGGGGTGCCCCACTGCCTAGCACAGTGCCTGCAACACGGAGGCACTCTGAAGACATCTTGCTGTCTAACCGGTACCACTCTGGCTTTGAACCGGGCTCTGCCTGCTAATGGATGAGCGGCCTTAGTTAGCCTCCATCTGCAAGAGTCAGCAGAGGAGGATTTTTTCCCCTGGGGTTGGTGTGAGGCTTGGAGGAGAAAAGTCTCATAAATTAGTACCTGGCACGCAGCAGGAGCCCATAGGACACCTCTCACTCATTAAGTAATTAGGATGACCATGCCAGTCTCCATCAGTCTCTCCCACTCTTGAGCCTATGGCCATGTCTCGGGCAGTGACAGGTTTGGAGCACTGAAGGATGATCCCCAATCCCACATTGGCCTACCCCCGATGAAGGAGGGGATCCACTGCTCACAGGCACCAGACAGCCAGGTCCACCCGGAGCCAGAGATGGCCTCCAGCACCTGCCTCCCGGGCCCCCCGGCAGCCCCCTCCCAGCCCCCCATACCAGTCCAGGGACACCACTCCGTGGTTCTTCAGGGCAAGGAGCACCACCGAGGGTGGGGCCTCCACTGGCGCCGCCCCGAAGTTGAAGTCGAGCTTCAGATGGGTGAAGACAGTGGGGATCTGGCTTGTGCTGTGTGAAGCAGAGACTCAGACTCAGAGACAGAGGCAGACAGTATGGAACCCCCCACCAGGGGCGGATGGCTGGCCAAGCAATCATCTTCCTGTAGGTGAGAATTGGAGAATCTGGGACTTGGGGGCTGGGGTGGGCTAGCACTTGTGACCTTGAGCCCATCCCTGACTTCTTCAGGCCGCTCCAGGGATGGGCAAGAATTTGGGAGGAGATGGGGAGACACTCCATGGATAGGTCCTGGTGCTGGGGGGATGGTGTGGGCAGAGAGCTCCAAGAACATCCCAGATAGACCCTGCCCCCGCCCTGGGCCCACCTCACCTGTGCCGGGTGGGCACCTTGTAGGTGAGCTCTTGGGGGGTGGGGTCACGCTCCAAGTAACTGTTGAGCGTGTCTAGGGAGAAGAGGCGCCACAGGTGTTTCCGGGTGATGCCCTTGGCGCTGCCCACGGGGCAGACATCCAGGATGGAGAGCAAGGGGTACACAGCCATCAGGAAGATGCAACACAGCTCCTGCCTCTTCCCAGCCTTGTTATCTAGGGGAGAGAGGTGTGGACGTGAGGAGTGGCCTCACCTCTCCTTTGCCCCGGGCCCCAGCATGCAGGCTGAGCATGTAGGACCCCTGGCCACCTTCCCAGGACCCTTGTCAGGAGCAGCAGGTATCTCCCAGGCTCTGGGACCTTTCCAGAACAGCCAAGCCTCGTCTGGTACTTTCTATGTGTCAGGCATTGTCTGAAACGCTCTGTGTGCATCGCGGTGTTCACTGGGTGCCATTGCTTGTTTGCAAACTGACTCTCACTAACGGCTTTATTGAGGTAGAATTTATATACCATGAAATTAACACTTTTAACCCATACAGTCCAGATTTGTCCTATATTCAGAGCTGTGCCACCATCACCACTATCTAATTTAGAACCTTTCTGTCACCCCCAAAAGAAGCCTGGTACCAAAAAGCTGTCACTCCCTGTTCCCCTCCCCCCACACCATCCCCCAGCCACCACTGATCTACTTTCTGTCTCTACAGAGTTGCCTGTTCTGGCTGGACATCTCACATAAACGAAATCATACAATATGTGGGGTTTTGGTGATTGGCTTTTTTCACCTGGTGTAACATTTTCAAGATTCATTCATGGGGTAACACATATCAGCCTTTTTTTTTTTTTTTTGCACATGTGCACACACATACATGGACATCTGTGTGGACGGATGTGGTCACTATGAGGCACACACACCAGTCACCCCAGCACATCCCAGCATGCTAACGCACACCTTGCTGGCACTGTCTGGATCCCTGGCACCCGCCCACCCCAGGTCCTGCTCACACAGTCCGTCCCCTTTCCTCTCAGGTGGCCCACATACCTCTGTGGGAGAGGAGAGCATAGCTGATCTTCCAGCAGTACTGGGAGCGCTGGTGGGGACAAGCGGTCAAGCAGACGGAGTCCTGGGACCGGGGTGGCAGGCTCCCCTCTGTGCGGTCCAGCTGCAGGGCTGCTCAGGGATGACCCGGGTGGAGTCAAGGGCAGAAGAAGCCCTTAGTGCAGGCCAGAGAGTCCCAGCCTCTCCTCCTGCTCCTTTCCACAAACCCTCCCCTGGGCGCAGAGTACTGGCTAGAGAGCAGGCCCAGAGACAGGAAAACAGGGAGCAGAGTCCCTCTTCCCAGAGCAGACAGAGGAAACCACATTTTGTGTCACTGGCATCTGCTAAGCACTTCACTCTGCCTCGCAGCCCTGGGAGGCAGGTGCCGGCAATCGTCCCATTTTACAGATGAGGCAGCTGAGGCTTAGAGAGTCACCCATCCCATGCCACACATCTAAAAGGTGGAAGCACCAAGTTTTAAGCCCTGCTCTGCCTTCCCCCAAAGCATGATCTGGTTAAGCATCGTCCCTCACTGCTTGCCTCCCTGGCCCCAGCCCTCCCCCGGGCCCGAGTACCAAGAGGCCCGTTGTCCATGACCTGAGGGCTGCACTGCTCCAGGAACAGGCGGTAATAAAGGGTGCAGTTGCCATCATTCAGAAGCATCAGCGACCTGGACTGCTTGCTGTTCACCAGCACATTCCCGAATTCCAGCTCCTTTTCCTTCACCTGAGGGCCAGAGTCAGTTGGCCACAGCCCTGGCTTCCCCACCCCTGGCCTCAGAGAATTAACGAGGGAGTACAGGGCCAGAGGGCTAGACGGTTCCCATCCCTTGCCCTCTTGGAGTCGGGCACCCTGGGGCCTTTCCTCCCAACTGTGCCCTGGCCCGCAGCTCCCCAGCCCCACCTGCCAGGGTTCTCCTACTCACGGAGAGGCTGCTGGTGATGCCCAAGCCCACCAGCCTGAGCATGTAGTGGGTGGTGGCGGGGGGCTTGGTGTTTGGGGGCAGACCGGCTTCCCAGATCCACATCCCCACTCGGAACAGGTACTTGGTCTCCTCCAGAGGGCTGAAGGTCCATGTCAGCGTCTGGGGTCACAGAGATCATCCCTGCGTGGGGTCTCCAAAGCCCCTTGCCCAGACTCCTCGCCACAGGAGCTCCCACAGTGGGGGACCAAGCTACGGTACCTCTGAGTGTTAACCCTGTGCTGGGCACTTCCCACACATCGGATTTTATGTTCACTCCTTCAGCCTCTCCATCCTTTACCCCACGAGGTAAGTGGTATTATTTAGTACCTCATTTTCTGATGACACACTGGAGACAGAGAAGTGGGGTAACTTGTCCCAGGTCACACGGCTGACGAGGGGCTTGGTGGGAGCTGGAGTGTGAGTTCCTGAAGCCAACTCCAGAGCCTATGCCGTCTCTCGCCTCCCTGACTACCACTTGGGTTCTTCCAGACACCATGTGTTGGTGGTTCTGGTGTCTGGCCTCCCCAACTCGTCTATATGGCCCTAGACCAGGAAATGAGGCTCTGCTAATTTGGGTCCCAGCCAGTGCCCCACTCCGGACTGCTGCTGAGACCTCGAGGACTCCCTTTCCTCACGCCTTTGTGATACGCACCTACCTGGCCCCAAACCCAGCTGCTCCAAACCACCTCACAGCGATCTTGCAGCTTTGGGGACCACGGATGGAGAGAGGACTTGCCCCTCGAAAGTGGTTCAAGTGCCAGCTCTCCACCTCCTCATTTGTAATATTCATAAATGGCTTTCTCTTCTCTAAGTTTCAATTCTTCTTTGTAAAATGGGAGCTAAGACCATGGTAGCTGTCCCACCTGCTTGTAAGGCAGGGGAGGTGGTTATCGATTAAATGGGAGGGTGCACACTGTAAGTCCGGCCCCCGGAGAGGCGTGAGTAAGAGATGATGGTCAAAGTGAAGGTGACCTTGGATCTCCTTAGAGAGAGCAGCCCCAGCTCAACGTAGACTCTCCCCAGTGTGAGCCTTGGCTGTGGGCAGGGTGCGGGGAGCATGCAGATGGGAGCACAGGGGTGGGGTTGGTGGGGGGCAGCAGCAGGGCAGGGCACTCACAAGGCTCTCACTGGGCTGGATAAGCCCCCGCACAGGCTGGACGGCCAGGATCTTTCCGTATGGCTGGGAAATCCTCCATTCAAACTCCAGGGGCAGACGCGAGGGGTTACGGAAGGTGAAGAGGCTGGTGGAGGAGCAGCCCACCCAGGTGGGCTTGAAGAACACGCTCTTAGAGGTGTCCAGCTTCAGCTGTAGGGGCTCCTCCCGGCTCTGCATGCATACCTCCTAGGGCCGGGGGAGGGAGGGCAGGGCCCCGATGTCACCCCGCTGCCCTGGCTCCCCCAAATGTCCGAGAGGCCACGGGTGGGCAGCTTTTCCCCTGGGAGGGAAGGCAAAAGGCCCTCCTCCAGCCTGGGCACAGACAGCTTCTGTCAAGGCAGAGTAGGTGGAGACCGACCCAAGAGATGTTCTTGAGAAGAACCCAGGGACCGAGACAGGAGGTACCGATCATTTCATGGGCCAGATATGGGCCCACCAGCCTGGCTCCTTTTCCGGCCCAACCCCACACCTCCCTCTGCAACCTGCAATGAGTCTTATTTTGCCCCACTCATTTCTTTGGGACCTCTGCATCCCTTTTCCTGTCCCAGACACCTTGAGGTCGACATGCTGGGCCTGAGGGTGGGAGAGCTGTTCACAAATGGGGTCAAGGGGTCTTTGCTCTCCTGTGGCACTTCCTGGGGGGAGGGAGGAGAAGCAGCCCCTTGGCTACTTTAGGGGAGATTTGAAGGCCGACCCCAGAATCTGGCTTTGAGAAGGAAAGCCCCAGACTATGGCCCACTCCTCAGGACCCGGTCCCCTAGCCCTGCCTTTTACCTTGAGATACTGGGGACAAAAATTAAACTGCAAGTAGAAAAGGTGTTGCTTCCAGCAGTTGCCCTTGGGGTAGGTACAGATGAGGAAGATCTGGTGGGCCCTGGGGGCCACGAGGCCTGAACTGGGCCGCAGGGAGATGTCTGAGCTGCTTTGGGGTGCCAAGTTGAAGGTCAACATCATGGAGCCTTTGTTGATCAAGAGCAGGCTACGGTAGGAGGGTTCGCCGGCGGACACTGCAGGAAAGAGCTGGGGTGCACAACAAGAGGGATCCATGCTCAGATCTATATGCTTCCTCCTCCCCCACCCCACTGATCCGCACTCGAGCACCACATCCCTCGGTAGTCCAGATGCCCGGGGGCTCAGGGAAGTCTGTGTGGGCTTGGCTGGGCCTGTCTTCAAGGAGAGCCAAGATACCTCCACACATCCCAGTCACTCCCCTGCGAGCAGGGAACAGAGGGTCACAGCTTGGCAGCAAAAAATGATTCTGTCCTCCAGAGACCTCCAGACAGGGAGAGGGAGTAGTCGTAGGGAAGTGAGCCCAGGAAACACAGACATCTGAGACTTCCTCCTCAGAGTTAAGGAGGTCTTTCATTTTAGGGTGCCCACAAATCATCCTTGGGAGAATTCACTTTCAGAGATCCTGGTCCAGAAGCTCTGGATCAGCAGTCCCTTCTAGATAACTCTCTTACAGACAGCTGAAAGGAACCCCGTGGCCCCTCTTCGAGAAGGGGAAAGCCCCAGAATTCCCAGCTTCCAAACATTCCTGAAGCGCGTAGGGTATGTTCAGCTGCAGGGTAAGAGCTAGGCCAGCCATATCGTACAAGGCCTGAGATCTCGGACAGGGCACCCACCCAGCTGGGACAGCTGAGCGGGGGGTTGGGCAACACAGGCCCAGAATCAGATGGACAGCGGTAAAGGCCACAAACTGCTGGGACGAACCAGCCACGAGAAAGGGACGGGGATCAGGGAGGGGAACCCCATGCAGTCAGGGAGGGACTTGAGCTGAATCTCGGGTGGGGATTGGAGAGCAGAAGTGCAGCTGGTGGGGAGGGGTGCAGCACAGAGCCCTAGAGGGGTGCCTTTCCAGCAATATGAGGCATGAGGGCAGTGGAGATGGATGGAAAGGATGACAAAGGTCAGGGAGGCTGGAAAGAGTTGTCGAAGGAGAAACCAGGACTGGAACTCAGCCGTCTGGGTCCAGGCTTGATGCTTTTAAGCCTTCTGTCATCTGGCTGCTTGGGTCAGACATGGCCTCCAACGATTCTTCGGAGAGGCCTGGGAATTATGACTCAGGAAACCGAGGGTCCAGCTCTGTGACCCACAGGAGCCTGGGCAGTCTCGAAGGCCAGGGGCTCATGGTGGGGGGTCAGATCCCTGAGCAGGTACTTAGCAAACAAGGCACAGACAAATGAAGGAGCCAGAGAATCTTCAATCTCAGTGCGAGATAGCCGGGGAGTATTCCAGATGGAGCAAGGAGCGGCCAGGGGTCCGAAACCAGACTGGCCCACAAGAGAGCCCTCCATGCCCGGAGCCCTAGGGCCTAGCGGTGGGGAGGGTGGGATGGCCTGGGAGGGTGTTGGGATGTATGCAAGGCCGGCAGAGTGTGGATGGACTGGACCAAGGCCAAACTCCCCCGTCCTACCTCCCACTGCCGCTGGGGCCATGCTCACCTTGGGGGCATGCAGGGAATACTGAGGGACAGGGTGTTCCAAGGCAGCATGATAGCTGTGGCCTCGTGCGCGGACGGTCAGGCACCAGGAGGGACACACGGTGCAGTCCTCCTCGATGTTATTATAGCTCTGCAGAACCTGCATAGGGGGCCAGACCAGTGGATGAGCTGAGAGTCCCATGTCTGACCCTGCGGGGTCCCCCAGCCTGCCCCCTGCGCTACAGGAGTCCCACACCAGGCACAGAGAGAGGACAGGGTCTCCCTGAGGAGACAGCGCAGAGAACAGCCATCTTAGCGGCTCTGACCGTAGGCACAGGCACCGTGTTTGGTGCTCCCGCAAATAGGCTCTGTGATAACCACAGCAGCAGCAGGCTGGGGCCGAGGCTGGGGTGCGAGGACAGCATTTCTCCTGCAGGAATGTGCCTAGAGATGCGCCCGCCAAAAGAAATAGGACGCGAGCCACGAAGGCAAGCCACAAAGGTAGTTTTACGTGTTCTAGCAGCCACAGTAACAAAGTGAAACGACGAGAAGTTAATTTCAGCGATATGACTTATTTATCCCAACAGATCCCAAATCTTACCACTTCAACCTAAAATCAACATATAAGTGATGCGTGAGATACCTTACATTCTTTTGGCGCTAAGTTTTTGAAAGCCGGTGGGTCTCTTATGATATGTCTCATTTGAACTGGCCACCTTGTGGGTGTTTGGTGACCATGTGTGGCTGGTGGCTGCTGTAGCAGACAGGGCCGGGCCAGAGCCAGTAGCCTAACAATCTGGATGGGTCAGCCTTGGCAAAGCCAGGTGTCCACAGCCTTATTCCTATAATCCTCCACATCCCCCCTGCCCCCCACCGCCCGCTGTCAAGATATTAGAACGGAAGCAATTAAAGTCTCAGCTTTGGAGTTCAGATATGGCCCCACACTTTTAGATGAAAAGACTGGGGCATCAGGGACATTAAGGGACTTGCCCAGAGTCACAGAGCTGATAAGGGATGCTAATCTCTCATTCCTGGCACCCTGGCCCCTGGCAGAGAATAGCAGCATAGGTAGAGCTGATAAGGAAGGGAAAAAGCAGGACCAGAGATGAGGGAGTGACCAGCGTCTGCGACCAAGAGGCTGGGCTGAGCCCAGCCTGTGGTCCAAGTTCCCTGGCCAAGGGAGGTAGTGCTAGAAGCCCCCCCCCCCCCGCCGCGGCCCCCGCCTAATTATCCGGCTCCCCTGACTTGGTCTCCCAGGCTCTGGTTCCTGCCCATAGTTCTTCTGGATGGACCACTCCCTACTTCAAGGACTAGAGAGAAGCCAGGAGCTCCAGGGAATGACTCCTTGTATGGTGAATTTTCCCAAAGGGTTGGACCCCAATTGAGTTCTCCCTCGGCTGGGTGTGGGGTACAGGGGTGACACAAACCCTAGAGGCAGTCAGATGGGCCAAGAACCCCTTGGCCAAGGCAGCCTATAAGCCTGGGAGAAGACAAACCAGTAAGGACTGTGGAGTGTGGCCAAAGAGGAGCTTGGCACAGAGAGGATGGATCCTATAGGGTCTCCTGCCACTTCCTCCAACCCCGCCTTGCCATTCAAGCTCCAGGGCAGACAGGCAGCCCTCCCCTGATCTCTTCTGCCCGCACACACCTTATAGATAGCGAAGGCCTCGAGCTCCGCGGCGTACAGGCAGTTGGGGTGAGGTGGATGGAAGTGCAGGCGCATGGCCATGGACTTCAGTGGAGGCACACTGCAGGTATCTGGGGTCACCCAGAAGGGGCAATCAGACCTATGCGTCCAGACCACCGTGATCTTGCCCTTGGTGTGGTTCATCAAGCACAGGGGGACAGGGTTGGGGTTCTCAGGCCCGGGGCAGGCACCAAAGTCCACCTCCATGGGCTCTATGCTGACAGGTGGGGGGAAGATGGCTATGTCATTGGTGCCATCGAAGAAGTACTCAGTCATGGGGGAAATGAGAGGATACTTCGGGGATGACGTGTCCGCCAGGTCCTGTGTGGGGAGAGACATGTGAGCGGGGGCCCAGCTGCCATTCCTCCTGCCACTGCCCCTCATTTGCGTGCCCCTTTCTGGAAAAGACGACAGGGGCTCCACACAGGCCATCCCCAACTACTAATGGCACCCGCAGGGCTCTGGGGGAACACGACTTGCTAAGAATTTCTGGAGAAGGGGGCATGGACCTGGGGAAGGGAGCCTATCTGTGGGAGGCCCCAAGTGGTCCATCAAACCTCAGTGGGAATCCTGAGGGCCCCATTTTTATCCTGCTCCAGCTTCTTCTCCCTCAGCAAGGTGCTCAAGATGTCAGGAGGGTAGAACGTCAGGCCCCGTGCCAGGTGTGTGCGGTACCAAGCCAGATGCTGTGGCCTTAGGATGGCTGGCTTGGTGCTGTCTGAGTGGCAGGTCCCAATCAGGTCCAGGAACAGGGGGTCCTATGACATGCGTCTGTATGAGCCTAGACTCTAGCCCCTGCTTGCCACCTGGGCCAGATGCCAGCTGGTCAAGGTGCAATCTGGATGACCTTGCCCATGGCCCTGAGTTGGGTCCTGACTTTAAGGCTCTCTACTCTGAGTCCAGTCCCCCCTCTCCCCAGCCCATTGGTGGCAGCAGCAGCAGCAGAAGCAGAAAAGCCCTTGACTTGGTCTGGAATGAGCCTTCCTATGCCCTTGGCCTGGCCCTGGCAGAGATAATCCAAGCAGAGTTTCCAGAATACAAAAGAGTGATCGCCAAGCACTGTCTTCGTCACTGGGCCTCAGATTGGCTCCTCCAAGTCCCAGGAGAGCCCCTCCTCGCCTCTGCCCCCACTGCTCACCTGGTGGTGGATGAGACAGGCCACTCGCCGGGAGTAGATGATGGGGTGAGTGGGCCGGAAGGCACAGTGCAGGGTCATGCGGGCCTTGCCCACCAGAGTCCCAAAGGACGGACTGATGCCGAAGACACTCTCTTGGCAGTCAATGGCAAACTGGAAGTAGGCTGTGCAGTCCGACTTGTTCTCAATCCACAGGGGCTGCTCCGAGAACTGTCCAAGGTTGACCCAGCTGAAGTTGACACAGTTGTGTTGCAGGGACACATCAGGACCTGAGTGGAGATGGGACTTCTGTGAGCCCTGCCACCTGGGTGGGGCTGGGCTATCAGCCTCCCTGAGGATGGCTCAGAAGGAGTCCCCCTAATGGAAGGTGGCACTTCCTGGCGACAGAAGGCTGAGCCCCAGCAACCCGAGCTGACCTCCAAGTTCACCGGGGGTGGGGGTGGCGGGGCAGGAATATTATCTCTGGGCATCCAAAACTGATTCCATGCTGAGCCCACCAGGGGGCAGCAGACACCCAGGCTGAAGGGCACGGAGGCACTGGGCCTTTAAGCAGGCCAAGATCCTTTCCCAGTCCTAAATGGGGGCTGCTCCTGTCCCCAGAGGCAGTGCGGTGTCCTAGGGTGGCCAGTACCTCTACAGAAACCAACGACTTTGAGCAGGGTTTGGGAGGCACAGCCAGAGGGCATGATGGACAAGTAGTCAATAGTTCTGACGTCCAAGGTCTCGGGGTGGAAGGACACTGAAACTAACTTCTTCCCGCCTGGAGGCACAATGCCATTGGTAGTGGGGCATGAGAAGGCATGATCTTTGGCCAGCATGTCTGGGGCTACTTCGATCCGGAAGGGGGCGCTCACCTGTGGGGACAGGGAGGGGCAGAAGGGTCAGGTCACAGGGTGAGGCATCTGTCCTTACCAAAGTGCCCGGCTGAGCAGGTGAGGACAGCCGAAGTCCATCCTGTGCCCCACTTGTCAGTTTGAGTACAGAGGCCACCTCCACCAAGAGGAAAGAAGAGGCCAAGCTACGTGCTAGGCACTGGGACTGCCTGGCGGGCACTCTTTTCTTTCCCCGAAGGTATCAGAAAGGCAAGCTGTGGTCCTGGGGGTAGGACCCCCTAGGGCTGCTCTTGGAGTTGCTCTGGGGGTGGTCAAGGGATACCCCAGCCCAGCCCCCAGCTGAGAAGAGAGGACACCTGTTGACACATGTGTGTATCAACAGACGTGGGTTATGTGAGGCTTGGGGCCAAAGGCATGGAGAGAAAGAGGGCACTTTGTAAAGGGGAGGGGTCTTAGAAGCATCCGGTCCTGTGGTCCTGCCTGCCCACCCCCTGACCCCCGCCCAACAGGAGGCATACCACCGAAGGGTTGTAAAGCTTGATCTGCCTCTCCGCAGTGCAGCCCACGGCGACCGTGCCGAAGTGCAGCACTTTCTGGGCGCCTTCAGCATCCCGGTCCTCTGGGCGCTTCTGCTTTATGCTCACCAGCAGTTGTGCACACTTGGCTGGGGCAGAGACGGGGAGTCTTGGGAAGAAACCCACCAGGGTCTCTGTTGCCCCAGCTGAACAGTCCCTTGAAGAAGGCAGGGATCCCCAGGGAAGCACTGGTCTGCCATACCAAGGAAGGCAAAGAAAAGGCAAAGCCTGCAGGGCTGGGGGGTGGGTGGGTGGGGAAGCTGGTGGAGGTCCTGTGGAGGACAGGCCAGCAGGGGAGGTGCAGGGGTGCACCCTGAGGTTCTGAGACCCAGAAGGGGCAGTAGGGGGACTCAGGACAGGTGAGAGGTCGGGCCTCACCCACAGCCTGCAGCTGGATGCTGCTTTTTTGCTTGCTGCCCTCTCCGTACCAGCATGTGGCCTGAACTTCATAGAGGATAGCCAAAAGGGGATGAAAGGTCACCTTGATGTAGGAGGCCTGGCCTGGCTCCAGCAGGCCCGTGGTGGGCAGTATATGGAATGGGCTGGGGAACTCCCAGGTGAAGAAGGTGGGCAGGTCCCTGGTGGGGGCAGGGGGTTGCAGATCAGAGCCACTGGGCTCATTTGGACCCCTGTCCCTACTTTAGAAAGGCAGAGATGCTGGGCCCTTCTCTTCTTCCCCTCCCCCAACAGCATCCTGGGACCCTCCTCACTGAGCTCACTCTCCCCACCTCTGAGCCTCAGCTGCTCCCCTCACCCCACATTTTCCAGGCAGAACCAGGCCTCGGCTGTGTCCCCCACGGCACACATGGGCAACTGTAGGGACGGTGGGCAGATCAGACTGTGGCGAGGCAGGGTGGCCCTCAGGTCCACACAGAACATTCCCTCTTCTTTCTCAAACCAGAGCTGGTCCACATACTCCTTCTGCAACGTGGGAGGTGGGAGGCCGGAGGCAGTCAGATATCCGTGGTAAGTGTATGGTGTTCAGGGACCACAATCCCTCCTCCCCCGCCCCTCCAGCTCTTGGTTCTGCCCCCAACATAGTCGCTGAGGGCAGGGCTGGATCATGGCCCTCCCCCATCAGTGTCCGAGGAGAGCTGGGTACTTAACCTTACACACTGTCTTAGTCTCAGAGATCAGGGGCCTCTTTTGCGAAGAACAGAGTATTTGGGGGAATGTTCTGAGAGTAGGAAGAGGCTAAGGCTTGTGGCCAATACAGTAGCACAGATAGTCTCCAACATCCGACTGGGAACCCCCTGCTGTCCAATGAGTTCAGGCTCGGAGCCTCTCCAGGGTTTCACAAGCTGGAGCTTCTGCTACAGGTGGCAGGATGGGTGTGTGTGTGTGTCTTGGTGGGGGAAGGGGGTTCTTTTTGCTGCTCTGCTCTGCTTCCTATTCCAAGGTCACGGTGCCCATGTCCCTCCCTGACCACCCCCTCTCAGTGGCAGACCTTACCTCCTCCAGAGGCCGGAAGATAATGGGGAGTGTGAAGGTTATGCCCGGGCTCAGCAAGATGGGCAGGGGGATGATAGTGAAGAAGAACTTGGTCTTGGGGGGCCTGCAGGAGAGAGCCGGGGCTTAAGAATTTCACGATCAGGGCTCAGATAACAAGAAAAATCCTGGAGCGTTGAGCTGGAGGAAACCAAGGCTGAGACCATAGGGGCCAGGGTGCCAATCCAAGCCGAGATCTAGGCAAGGCTGTGGAGTCCCAACATGGCTCAAAACCGTAGATAGTGCAGACTTCTGAAATAGTCACAGGAAGATGATACTACCAATAACTCTGTACCAATAAATGTTTAGGGGCACTGGGTGGCTCAGTGGGTTAAGCCTCTGCCTTCGGCTCGGGTCATGATCTCAGGGTCCTGGGATCGAGCCCCGCATTGGGCTCTGCTCAGCAGGGGGCCTGCTTCCCTTCCTCTCTCTCTGCCTGCCTCTCTGCCTGCTGGTGATCTCTGTCTGTCAAATAAATAAATTTAAAAAATGTTCAAGTTTAGATGACATAAACCCATTTCTAGGAAAGAATTACTTACCAAAGTGGACTCAATAATTAGATAATTCACTTTATGGCCATCCTACCTAAAATCATCAAAGCCATTGAATAAGTAGTTAAGAATCTTCCCATAGAGGGGTGCTTGGGTGGCTCACTCTGTTAAGCATCTGCCTTTGGCTCTGGTCATGATTGCAGGGTCTTAGGATGGAGCCCCGCATGGGGTTCCCTGCTCAGTGGGGAGCCTGCTTCTCCCCTCCCTCTGTTGCTCCCCCTGCTTGTGCTATCTCATTCTCCCTCTCTCACAAATAAATCTTCCTACAGAGAAAACACTAAGTTGAATGGCTTCACAGCAAGTCCTACCAGACATTTGATAAAAAATAACCCCAGCCTTACCTTCCCAGTAATAGAAAATGAGGGGAAAAAATCCCCCAAATATTATACGGATCCATTGTAACATTGTTACCAAAATCTAACAGAGGCAGGAGAGGAATGAAAAATTATAGGCTTATCTCTCTCATAAACAAAAGGAGAGAGCCAAAGGAATTTAGCAATGTATAGAAAGAATACTGAATTATGACAAAGTTGAGCTCGCTCCAGGAAATACATGGTTGGTTTAGCAGAGGAAATCAATTAGTGTACTCCACCAGGTTAACAAATTAAGGTGGAAAAAAAATCAAATGATCATCTCAATAAAGAAAAATATTAGGTAACCTTCAACTTGTTTATGAGAAAAACTCTTAGCATAGTAGGAATAGAAGGGAATGTCCTTAACCTGATAAAATCTTTAAAAAACCCAAGTCAAAACCAAAAGCCATAGGAAACATCCAAACCAATGGTGATATGTTGGAATTTTTCACATTAAGATCACAAACAAACAAGGATAAACATCAGTGGAGGAGGAGATCATCAGGAAAAGTATGAACTTTTCAACAAATGGCTTGGGGATATTTGGACATTTGTTTGAAAAAAAGCATCATCAGATCCTTACTTGAAACCATTCAATAAATAAATAAATAAATAAATAAAGGAACATCATTCACAAAAATCAATTCTGCATAGATAAAAGACAAACATGAAAAGCAAAACCATCATCTTTAGAAGATACTATAGGAGGGGCGCCTGGGTGGCTCAGTCGTTAAGCATCTGCCCTCAGCCTGTGTCATGATCCCAGGGTCCTGGGATCGAGGGTCCTGGGATCGACCTCTGCATCGGGCTCCCTGCTCAGCAGGAAGCCTGCTTCTCCTTCTCCCACTCCCCCTGCTTGTGCTCCCTCTCTTGCTGTCTCTCTCTCTCTGTGTCAAGTAAATAAATAAAATCTTTTTTTTGAAGATTTTTTTTAAAGTTTTTAAAAAAATCTTTGTTTTTTAAAAAGATTTTATTTATTTACTTGACAGAGAGAGAGAGATCACAAGTAGGCAGAGAGGCAGGCGGGGAGCAGGCTGCTGAGCACACAGCCCGATTCGGGGCTTGATCCCAGGACCCTGGGATCATGACCTGAGTGGAAGGCAGAGGCTTAACCCACTGAGCCATCCAGGCGCCCCTAAATAAATAAAATCTTAAAAAAAAAAAAAAGAAGATACTATAGGACAGTGTCTTCATGACCTAGGCAGTGGGAGAGAAGGACTTCTTAAAAGCAGCACCAATCATAACCTAAAAAGATTGATACATTTGATTCCTTTGAAACGAAGAACTTCAATTCTTCAAAAGACATGGTAAATAAATGAAAAGACAAGTCACAGGTGGGAGGAGATATTTACAACACATAACTGACAAAAGATTAGTAGCGATAAGAACTTCTATTTGATAAAAAGACAGGGGCACCTGGCATGGGACTCTTGATCTAGGGGTTGTGAGTTTGAGCCTTGCATGAGGGTGAAGTTCATTTAAAAAAAAAAAAAGACAATCTAAGAGAAAAGTGAGTCCAGACTTAAATAGGAATTCCACCAATGAAATGGTCAATAGCACACAAAAGACACTTAGCTCTGTCGGCAAGCAGGGAAATGTAAATCAGAGCCACAAAAAATCACCACTGTTGGAAATATTTTAAATTCTGACAATAGCTTTGGTTGGTAAAATTGCGGAGGTGTGGGAATTCATGCATGGCTGGTGGGAACAGAAATATGAATGAGTACTTTAGAGAAGAGTTTGACTTTACCTATAAAAGGCAAGAATGGACATGCTCTAGGTCACAGCAATTCTCCTCCTATGTATCTACCATAGGAAAAAACCTGCAGGTGAAGATCTATACATGAATGCTGATCACAGTCCCAGACCAGAAATAACCCAAACAACCCTCAGCAGAAGAATGGATAATATATTACAATATAAGCATCTGTTGGGATATTATACTGTGATGACCAAGAATGAACTATTGTCACATGCAGATGAGTCTGCCAAAACCAAGAGTTGACGCTTAACTGACTGAGCCACCCAAAGGCCCCTAATTTTATATGAAAATTTTAAAGTTTGTTTTCTAAAGAGTGACTGGGGGGCTTGAGGGCTCAGGGGCTGGATCTTTGATTCCTGATACTCATACCTGTACACCATCTTCTGGGTCTTCAAGGACACGTTTTTCAGAGCCAGGTTCTTGGTGATCTCCTTCCCTAACGTCCAACCTCTCCACTGCAGTACCTCGGCTACCTCAATGCCCCAGATGACTCTCTTCTTCACTTTGTCTCGCTTCTTTGAGAAGCACACGTGAGTGTCCATCAAGCTGGCTGGCTGTCCAGTTGTCAGGGAAAAGGAGGAGAAGAAAGGACGTGTTAACAGGGTAAGATTCAAATACCCAGAGAACAGGCAAAGATGTCCCTTCTCCAGGAAGTAAGGAATTACCCCATCTCGGGCCCCTGGGGCATGGTCTTGGAGAGAGACAGTGAGGGGCAGGTAAGCCCTGGAGTCAGATATTACCATTTCTGAGGTCATGGCAATGGTTTTCCAGCTAGATTTTCCATGACCCCACTCCTGCAGCCTTCCCTGGACCACTCCATCAGACACTGAGCAGTCTTAGTCTGCTCTGTTCCTCAGTGCACCTAAAGATACCAGTCCCCTCTGGTTTGGCCTTGTCCTTTCCCTCCTTCCCATCCTATGCTTTTGCTGCAGAAGTCTCTCATAGCTGGAGTGGTCTATCCTGCACAATTTTGGAGATGATAAGAATACTCTACCATTCCCTCTCCCATCCCTCAACTGCCTGGTAGAGCAGGGGAAGGAGTCAATTTGCCTGTAAGAAACCTCAACCCCCCACCGTGATGTGGGGCCACTCCAAGGGCTGCTCCTGACGATGTTAGAGGAGCTGTGTCCCAACACTTCCCATCAATAACGGAAAATCCTTCCCGAGCTGATCCCTAGCCCCATCTACCTGAGAAAGGAGGGGGATGGAGGGGCAAAGCCAAGGTGAAGAGAAGATGAGCAAGATACCTCTTCCTACCACAGTCTTTGCGATGAACACTCCACTTACCGCCATGTTACGTTATCTTTGGGCAAGTATTGCTTCCATGTTGTTACTTAACATAAAGATATATTCATCTGCTGGACAAATATTTGGTGACTACATACCACACGCCAGACATTGTGCTAGGCACCAGGACCACAACCGTGAACAAGATAGATGCATCTCTTCTCTCTTGGAGCTTACACTCTTAGTTTAAATATTTACAGAGTGTCAGGTGGCCAATGTGGTATTTTCTTTCCTGGTCAGCCCATGGAGGAAAGGTGACATGGGTGGGAAAGGGTAATTTACGGTAATATCAGTTGGGACATCAGTCAGGTTCAGTTGGGAAAACAGAAGCTACCGTGGGTGTTTAAAATGAGGAATTTAATGCACAACCAAGGCATAGTGAAGTGCCCAGAAGCTAGCAACATCAAGAAAGGGCTGCTGTGCTTGGTTAGGGGAGGTGCTGGGCTTCTCAGAGCCCTGACACCTGTTGGGTGGGGACTGGAGTCATGGGGAGATGCAGCTGCTGATGGGACTACGGTCTCAAAAGCCAGGGGGGGGAATGGGGGAGAGAAATACCCTGGCCCCTCCCTTCCACTCCACTTCCAATCTCCTGCCAGCTCAGGGCAGAGTAGGGAAGGGCGGCAAAGAAACATGGGGCAGACAGGCCCAGAATGGCACAGAGGGAGGGAGTGAGATGACCCCCAGTCCTCAGGGAAGCAAAGGCAAGCACCACTGCATCTAGAGAGACACAAGAACGCACACACAACACAGACACATGTGGCACCCCACACAGTCACACCCCACACACTCCTAGACAACCGCCTTCCACCCCTGCCACTGCGATGTCACAGAGAGACACCCCGAGAGCTGCAAAGTCAGCAACATCCACATCTGGGTCATGCACACGGGGTCAAGCCCAGGAGAACTTTCTGAGGGAAGAGAGAGCCCTTGACTACTCTCTCAGCTCTGACTGGCACCTCTCCAGCGTTCTTCCCATGCACCCCCCCGGTGCCCACGGGCACTCTCGCCATGGCCACCGCACCAGGCGGCGTGGTGCTCCATGTATGCAGGGTATAGGGTTGGGGTTTGGACAGAGGAGTCAGGTCCTTCCAGACTCCTACCCCCCCCCCCCCCCCCCCTTCCCCCCCCCCCCCCCTGCCCCCCTGCCCCCCCCATCCTGGTCATGTGCTCACCCGGGCGCTGGTGTTGCTGCTGCTGCAGAGGCTTAGCGCCACACTGCTGCCCGTGACGGTGGCCATGGCCGCTGTGCTGGCGCTCAGACAGGACCCAGAGTTCATGGTACAGTCCCCGCTGTCCCTAGTCTGCGTCAGGGAGCTTGGGGCTGCCTGGAGGAGCACCAGCCACCTGGAACACAAGTCCAAGAGGAGCACTCTGGCTGAGCCAGAAGTTCCTGCCAATGGGGAGCTAGGAAGAGACCAGAGGGGAGACAGGGACGTCAAAGAGAGAGGCTCGTGGAGTAGACTCACTGAGGCTCTCATTATCAAAGAAGGGCCCACTTTCCAGCTGTGGCAAGGAGGTAGGAGGTGGCGCCACAAGCAGTGAGCATGAATCTAAGATCCAGTGCTTGACCCAGGAGCCTAGAAACTCCCCATTCAGGAGAGGGACCCAGGAATGAGGCCTGCCACAGCCATGCATGGCATTTCTCAGGAAGCCCCCAGGGAGTGAGGCACATGCATTACCTTTAGCTGGCTTTTGCCCTCTACTTGTTTCTTCTGAATGTGTCTGGCCTCCTCTACGAAGAAGGGGCAAAGAAGAGGTGAATGAGATTGGATAGTTCTTGGTCTTTCAGGTTTTTTCTATCAGTATACAACCTGCAGTCCAGGTTTAAAGTAAGCATTCACTGAAATAACCACTCAATCCAGAGATAAGCAAGTCAACTTCTAGAGCAGAGGGATCCAGGGAGAGACTGCAGCTGGAAATTATAGGCAAATATATGCAAATTTAATATGCAAACCACGTGCAAAATGTCATATATATGGAGAAGTGCTTTTTTCCCAGGGAAACTGTCCGCAGCTTTCACCAAATATTCAAAAGGATGTTTGGTCTTGCTCTAGGGAACACACATGGGACCTAAACTCCAAAACCCCTCTTCCTTTAGGGGACTTCCTTTAGCACACACACCAGGTGTGGCTACTATATTGGACAGCATCAATCTAATACCTTTTTGAACATATGTATATTTTTCAGACTACTCAGTGTCTTTTCCCACCTCTTCAAATAGCAATCTCCAAAATAGCAACGACTTCTACTGACATTTAGTGAGAACTTATATACCAAGCAGTGTTGGAAGGCCCTCTCATGTATTTTATTTTATTATTTTTTAAGATTTTATTTTTAAGTAATCTCTACACTCAACGTGGGGCTCAAACTCACAAACCTGGGGTCAAAAGTCACATGTTCCACCAACTGAGACAGCCAGGCGTCCCTTATATATTTTAATCTTTACAACAATTTATGGTGAGATTCAAGCTGTCTTTTATTTGTTCTAAAATTCTCTCTCTTCGAGGCATCTGGGTGGCTCAGTTGGTTAAGTGTCTCTCGACCTCAGCTCAGGGTCTTGATCTCAGGGTTGTGAGTTCAAGTCCTATGTTGGACTCCACTGGGGCATGCAGCCTACTTAAAAAAAAATCACCTCTTTTCAAGTTTGGGGTTCAACTTTTAACTCCTTATTATAACATATTACACTTTAGTCAACAATTTTATGGTTATCCTTTAGAAATTTACACAGTTTCATCAGACACTCTCCCATCCCCTCCGCATCACCATCCAAAGCAAAAGATTCTGTTGATTCAGTTTTTCCTAATTGGCAACACCTCCAAAACCTCTGGAGAATATCTTAGATCCACTCACTGACTCATTCATTCATTCACTCACAAAGCATTTACTGAGTAGCTATTATATATTTGCAGTGCTAAGCAATGAACAAGATAGGGAAGGCCTCTCCCTTCCACTGTAAAAAGGATGTTCAGATGGAATAAAAAAAAATGTCAGCTGGGGAGGCAGGGAGGAGAGTCCCATTACTTTTTGGCTATTGGATGGCTTTGTAGTCCAGCCTGGCTCCGTAAAGTCTGTGACCTCAGGGGATTCTATAGATAGCCACTGCCTCAGAGCTCTGAAAAAAATCTCCAGTCAACAGCCGTAGAAGAAATTAGAGATGATGGGGGTAGAAATCTGGTCTAGATCAGGTCTTAGGGCTTAGGGAAGAGAGTGCTGCTCCTGGAGCAAGGAGGGCTGCATCGGCTCAGGCTGGGTGAGATGGACAAGTTTCTCCACCTTCTTGAGCCCCAGTCACCACACTAAATGAAGGTTATCTTACTTCACAAAGTTGATGTGAAGCTGGAATGAAATAAGGGATTTGAAAAAGCCGTAGATGAACCAGTGTTACTGTAATTAACAATTATAACTTCCATACTCGGTTGAGCTACTCTTCCAAAAGACACCCATCTACAGTGACTGTGAAGATGCTGGGCCAGTTAGGGGTTGTTTTCAAATCCAATTTTCTAATCATGAGGACTTTAGAAAAATATATATCATCAGCTTCATTTGCCTCATTTCCAACGTAAACATTCCTAAGATGACCACTGGAAAAGTCGCGTAGTGTGGAATGGAAAAGAAATTGATAAAATGAAGTGATAAAAATACTTAAGTTAGTTCCTCCCTTCTCTAGGAGATCCCAGGCTGATCTCACCCAAGTCTCAGTCCTACGGGGCTCTCTAAGGGACATGAAGGGGACCCCCGGCCACAACTTCCCAAAGGAGGTGATCTTCCAGGACAGATACCTTCGGTCGCCACTATACTTCGCTCGCGCCGTTCCCCAGGTCCTGGGACCAACTCTCCGAACTCACTCCGCCGCCATATTGTCGTCTCCATAGAGACAGGACGCTCAGGGCACGGCGTCTCTCGGTATCCCAGGACAACGACGGCATCCCGAATGAGTCAAGGCTCAAGGAAGGCGAAAGCGCCGGCCAATTTTAATGCTTACCCTTTTTGTATTTTCTGGTTTTCCCTTCTAGTAGTTACTGAGCTTCTATCAGTCGCGACATGGAATGTATGGTCTCCTACTTGTCGTGACGTCCTCGCAATCCTTATTTTAGTAGACAACCAAATTCACAGGAGGTTACTCCGTGGGCTCGCCCGGGGAGGGGGAGCCGTTCCAGTTCTTTCCGGCCGCGCGAAGGTGACGCAGGGTCAGAATCTCAACCGGAACTTCAGTCCGTGACTGCGATTGTGAACTTAAAAGCACCCAGTAGTTATTTCTCATTTGCATATTGCTTTACGACTGGATTCCTTTTGCAGGTGGGAGAGAAAGTGTCCTATCCGTGTCCTGCCGGCATTTCCTCCTCCCTGGCAGCAAACTAACTCTTTTCTGGGGATCTGGAGGTTAATGGTTGAAGAAGGCGCTGGTACGCTAATGTGGATTCTTGGAAGCCCATTTGTTGATTTGTCCACATTTGCTTTGTGGAAAAGTTCTGTAGAACAACAAAAATTCAAGGGAGTAAACTTCAAGTAATAAATAATTATTACTTATAATCCAGTTGGTTTTTTAAAATGGATTTATGAATTGGGCCGCATCCCATCTACAAGTAGAGGGGAGCTCCAGGGAGTTGTGCAAAATGGAACGTTTATACAGGCAGGAGGGTGCGTCAAGATGCTATTAGCAAAAGGAAAGGAAGGATTTTTTTTCCAGGTGAGGTGGCCTTCCCTTATGGGGAAGGACAGGGCCCCTTATTACAGATTGCCTTATCTTCTTTTGGGGGTTGGAGAGGGTACCTGTGATAGATGACCTCATTGGTGCTGACCAGAAAATTCCTGTCTGATCCTTTAAGACTACATTTCTGGGGGAGGTTGAAACTTGGCCCAAGGGACACCATTTTGGGCCTGTGGTTTTCTTTGTAACAGCTCTAATTTAGTGAAGACTCCTTAGGTGGGTGAAGCCGAAAGCCTCAAAGTTCACTCGTGGGCAGTTAAAGATGTTTCACCACCCAGGACAGTGATGGGGGTGGTGTTACAGGGAGAGATCTTAGTGAGTCTCAGGGTAAACCCAGAAAATAAACTCTCATTTTGGGAAAGTTGGCATTTACTTGTGAAAGTAAACAGTAGATGGACTAAGATGACAAAGTGGCCTGAGTTGGCCTGGAAAATCACATGGCCAGAGGCTGAGTGAACTGGAGGGAAGGGGCAGGCCAGGGGGCTCATGAAGTTATGCCAGCACCATTAAGTCTGGAATTTTCTTGGGATCAAGGAATGTGTAACTCAGTGAGCTTTTCACCAGTTTTAATGTTATTCTCAGAATCTAAAATCTGCACTTTGGACGTGACAACGTCTATGCTGTTTGTTGTTTCTATAATGATTTCCTTTTTGTTTTCCTCTGAACTCTTTTTGAAATGGTCAGTCTGACTCAGCAGGACAGGGAAAGAGACCTGTTTTTCCCTTCTTAGACTGAAAAGAAATAGGAGCAGTGACTCTGCAGAGAGGGCTTGGTGGTGGCCTCCGTAATCCCAGCAGCAAAACCTGAAGAAGGTAGAAAAGATCGTGCAAGGAGCGATGTGCCCTTGTGCCTTTTCACTAAGGGAGTGTCCCTCCACAGCTCTGGTGTGCCCAAACTTTGGTGGATTCCTTGTCCCCCCCCCCCCGTGGGCTCCACTTCTATGGGTCTCTGGCTGCCTGCTGAGAATTCTGCTGGAGAGCTCTGACCTTGACTGATACAGTGGACTCCCAGGGAGAGGTCCAAGCTGGACTTTGCTCCAAGAGGCAAGCAACATGGAAAGGGGTGTGGCAAAAGGTTGAGTCTCAGGAGGAGAGAGGAGGTTGGATTTGCTTTGGAAGTCCCCCTTTCCAGGAGCCCAGAACCCATGGGAAAAAATGGATGCTAGGTCCTGGTGACTGTATCTTCTATGGACCCAAGAAAGACAACAAGGTGGATGCTGTTGGGTTCAAGGCTGTGAACAAGGGTGGGTGATGATTCAGGAAATCGATGAGGACCAGGATGTGGGAGAAAAAGAGGAAGAAGGACTTGAATCCTTTTGCATAGAAACCTTATTGGAGATAATAAAGATAAAGCACACACTCAGTAATTTGGGCTTCAGTACACTCAAATATATCTTATCTAAGTCCTCCCTCCCTTCCCCCACCAAATAGAACAGAGGAGATTCTGGGCTGGGAAATCAGACCTGAGATTAATCCTGACTCTCACTTACTGACTGTGTGACCTTGAACAAGTTACATGACCTCTCAGAGGCTCAGTTTCCTCAACTGTTACCTGGGAATAATTATCAAAAGGTTCATATAGCGGGTGTCTGGGTGGTTCAGTGTCAGTGTCCTGGGATGGAGTCCCAGGTTGGCCTCCCTGCTCATCATGGAGTCTGCTTCTCCCTCTCTGCCTCTCCCCCCTCCCCTACTCATGCTCGCTCTCTCTCTCTCTCAAATAAATTCTTTTGGAAAATGGGATGCCTGGGTGACTCGGTTGATTAAGCATCTGCCTTCCACTCAGGTCATGATCCGAGGGTCCTGGAAGTGAGTCCTGCATTGGGCTCCTTGATCAGCAGGGAGTCCGCTTCTCCCTCTGCCTGTCTCTCCCCCGGCTTGTGCACTCTCTTTCTTTCTCTGACAAATAAATAAATATATAAAATCTTTTAAAAACCTTTTTAAAAAGGCTGGTGTAGCAACAAAGTGATCAGACATGTGAAAAGTATTTGACACATGCTAGACAATAAAGTTAGCCACATGTGCATGCACAGATGATGGTCACTCAACAAGTGGGATGTCCCTATAATCAAGCCATTCAGTTTTCTGTGCACCCTCCCCTCCTACCATCTCCCAGCCTCTGCTCCACACTGGAGAGGCAGGAAGTTTTTCTTCTCTCCACATCCCCCTCTTTTGTTTATATAAGAAGGAGCCTGCCTTGGTGCTCTGGGATGGAGAGAGATGAAAGGAGATACCAGGGTGACTTTCTGTCCAGTTGGCAAGTCAACCCACCTCCAGAACTTGCACAGTCCCCTCCCATCTTCCTTCCCTGCACTCTGACTCCATTTCCAGTGTTGGTTCTGAAATCAGTTCTACATTCAAGATGTACTTAACTTGGGGGCTGGGAGAGATGAGGAGGTGAGTCCTCCCGTGGAAATCTCTGACTTCTGAAATTAAGTAAGTCTTCCAAGTCCAGCCTGAAGGGTGAAGAGTGAGAAAAAGCTGCAGCTAAGAGGGCCACTTAGGTGGTTTGGGGGCTGGATCTAAGAGCAGTCATGGGGCACTCTCTGCATTAGCGTGCCATGGTCCTCTGAAGCTGCTGGGGGTAGGGAGCCTGAATCAAGAGGTTGATGGCTCCTCCAGCCTGAAAGGGCTGCCAATGCACAAAACTGGCAGGGGCTAGGGGCCAGACAGTCATATCACAAGAGAATTCAAATGAAAGAGCTCCATTCTGCTTAGGATGCCCCCTCTCCCCGCCCCACATAGGGTTTTCTACAATTTTATGCCAACCCAAACTCCTTAGATAATTTGCTCCTTCCATTCATTGTCCCCACCAAAGGGTAGATAGACATGCAAGCCAACATTAGTGGGATCAAGGGAAAAAGACATGAGGCTTAATCCCAGGAGACTTGAGTTCAAGTTCAGGTTTTACCATCTGAGAGCTGGGTGATTTCAGGCAAATTATTAAACATTCCAGAGGCTGACTTTCTTCATCTATAAAATGGGGGCAAACAAGGATAGTATTAAAAATTCTTAATAATTGGTAAAGTATGGATGCCAAGCTATGAGTATGGATACCAGCTGCCCTCAGAGCCAGAGCCAGGGTCCTAGTTGCTCCCATTTTGCCAGGCTTTAACCCTTTTGTCATTGGGTCATAGGGAGAGCTGGGAGTATGGTGAGGGAGGGAGAGCAGCCAGAGCAGTAGAGAACTCAGCAAGTGACTGGTACCAAAGTATCTCTAGATTTCTAACAATAGCTATAGTGAATAGTAATAGTTGCAAGAGAAACCTAAGGAAAAGTCCCACCTCACCATCTGCTGTTTACACATTTCTCTATTTTTTTAAAGAGTTTATTTATTTAATTAATATAGAGAGACAGCTAGAGAGGAAACACAAGCAGGGGGAGTGAGAGAGGGAGAAGAATGCCTTCTGCTGAGCAGAGAGCCTGGGGAAGGATGACCTGAGCTGAAGGGAGACGTTTAACAACTGAGCCACCCAGGGGCTCCCAGTTTATTATTTCTAGCCAAAACTTGAAGTATCTCCCCTTTGAATGTCTCCTCGTTGGTGAAGAATCAGTCACCAGGTCTAACTGCTCTCTTTTTCTAGGCTGAGCAGTGCTCCTCCTGTGTGTTAGCTTTCCCAGCTGTCTTCCTTTAGACCATCTCCTCCTCTCACCAGCTGCACACCTCTCTGGCCAGCACCATGGACAGCTCTAGCTGACCAACCGATCTGAACCCATCCCCTTCCCTTGCCTTCTATCCCCACCACTCTGATCCACCCAAGTGTGGAACCCCTGAGGTATGAACTGAATGAGGGTCATCCTTGAAAAGATAGTACAGTGGAGTGATTAAGAACAAACTCTGGAGTAAAAAAGTTTGGATTTGAATCCCAACCCCACCAACTCTTCAGCTCTACGATCCTGTTCTTTTGCTTCTATATGACCCAGTCTGCTCATCTGTAAATAGGGAACACTAACACCTACCTCAAAAGGTTGTGAGGCTTAAGTGTGATTAAAAAAAAATTAAAGAACTT